TATAAGGCGACTTCAGAGCTCTGCACCCAGAAATCTCTAACTAATTTCTCCCCCATTGCTGGCAATTCCTTTCCCTCAGAAAGGATGCTGGTACACACTGAAGACGGAAGCAGGCTTTGCCTGGGAAGATTGAAGCAAAAAAAACCAAAAAAAAAAGTATCAAGTATTTCTGCCCTTTCCATATGCACCAGCGGGTTGTCATCCTCACCCACCAACACAAAGGGAGCTGCAGGGACTTCTGTACAGATGGTGCTGTTTACTCTAGCACCATGAATAAACCATCTCAATTAAGCACTGATGTAAGCACTGCTGAAATAGCCTACATTTGTCTTGATTTTGTTGAAATGTAATTCTTCAAAGAGAACTGGGCAGCCATCCCTCATCCTTTCATCAACCCAAAGCACTGGGCAAACACAAAGGTTAATCACAAATGTGAGGAACAGCCAGCTACACAACCTGGTGTGACCAAACCTGATGTTCAACAAAATGTGCAACCTGACACACTCTGAAAACACATTTACCTGGGTTTTAACCTTTGCTCCCAAGGACAGGAAGGCACATGTTGCAATTCAACAGGCCAGTGACTGTAAAGTTCCAGCCGTGCCAAACAGATGAACATTTCCAGAGCAGCAGGAACATCACTGGCTGTAAGAAAAGAATGTCATGACGATGTTTTTCAGGGAGCTATATTTACAAAATCCTTTTGAGGCCTGTGAATCTGAACAACCCTCAAGAAGTGTTTGGAGTGCTAATGGATGGGATGAGTTGCTAAATTCATGTCTCATTCTGAGACCAACACTGGGCAACTAGAGAGACAGTAAGTGATAGATCTTCAGCTGTATAGCTGTAAGGCAACTATCAGTTTGGCTACAGGCTAACACAGGCAGAAGGAATCCTCTGGACCTAAGTAGGTACATCTCTTTTTACTTCCACAGCCTCCACAAAAATAGCAACTGAGTAAAGATTCTACAAATATTTTATTCCAGCTTATTCTGACTTATTCTATGGGTGATTTTGGGTAACTGCAAATTACTAAGATGGTGCGGTCCTTCAGGGTGAAGACACTTAACGGTGTCATAATCTAAAACTCACAGAGCCAGCACATCTTTTAACACACTGGGCAGTCTGAGAAATACTATGTAACACCACTGAGCCACATSAAATTATCACAAACCAGCAGTGCTCATGTCATTGGAGCAATGTAATTTCTCAGAGGCTGCAACAAAACAGCAAAGCTCTGTGGCGTGCAACAAGTATCAGAGAGCTCACTTAATCCTGGGCAACATAGAATCATGGAATAGAACATGCAACAGACAGGGTAGAGAAATCTTAGTTATTTTATCTTTAATTTTTCTTTCCTTAATTCACCACTGCTTCACAAAAACAAAAGCACCAGTGTTAAGGACATTATTGACAGCATTTTGGTGTCCCCTAACACAAACGCATCGAAAAAGTAAAGGGTGCCAGTCCTTGCATTGGCATCAAATAAGATACTGATTGGATTCCTCATCTCTAAAAACGTAAATTATGTTTTTTAAAAGATAATTTTTCATAAAACAAGTAATTCTTAAGATATGAATGGTGATGTTCTGGGAAGATTAATAGACCATGCCCAGGAAATATCAGCTGATGCTAACAGACAACAGGGGAAACTATTTATGTATTRGTGATCTTTAAACAACACTTAAATCCTTCAACACAGCTCATGAACAGAGTTCAAATACGCCARCAAATACCCTGCCTTTTCTAATCTACAGAATGTAAATGAGAATCTTCTTGTTTCCTTACTCTGGGACTACAACACTTGCAGTATGATAATTTGCAGATATGAGATCTAACTTTTTTTTTTTTTTAAGAAGAGTTAAATTTGGAATGTACAAACGGTTGGAGCACTTCAAATCAGTGGTCTATGCTGGCTACTGAACAACTTAGGCAATGTAAACATCTATATCCCTTTACTCCCCTTGCACTTGGATGCTTCTCCCCATGCTATCTCTATTTTTACTTGAATGAAAATGGAAAGCAAAGATTGCTCAGATAGAAGGCTTCTTATGGTTGAGCAAAGAGCAAAATTTAAGACGTGGAGTCTGAATCCATTCAGTTGCAAATTGAAGTAGCAAGGTCCAACTAGCTGGCTTAGAGTCAAAACAATCCTGAGTACCAAATCTGGGAAAAAAAAARTCAAAAGAAAATAGTGGAAGTACTGAGACCTAACTTGACAGGACCACTGTGTGCAGGAGCTGCTAAGAGCAGCAGCTGCACTCAGGAGCCAAAAGAGCTGAGAAAATCATGGTGAAAATRAAGCACAGGAAGAGAGGCAGGCACAGGCTTGAGAGGAAGCTGGAAAGAGTGTTGTGACACACAGTAAGATGGAGAATTCCAACAGCAAGCTGCTACTCAGAGAGAGCTTAGGCATTGTGTAAGAATGGTCAAATCCTCGATAGCTGCCATGCTAGGAGGAAAACAACTTAATCCTTCTAGGAATATTTTTCTTATTGTATATGCCATTACAAAACCAGCAGGCTAAAGTGACTTCTGAGAGGCAACACAAAAGCCCAAATTATCAAATTCAATTGTCATGCGTGTTACCCCTTGCAAACAACAAGTTTTGACTAATATGATAAAATACTGTCCTTGATGTCTCAGATGGAGGAAAATACAGGAAACAGCAGGTGAAATATCTACTTTTATCCACTAGMAGGAGGAAATTCTTTTCTATTTCTGAAGATGGTGCTGATTAATGGCATTAAGTTATTCATCATTTTGATGTGGGGTAAAAAGGACAAAATAAAAGACAAAGATCAAGAAGMAATCAGAACTACTGGTGGAAGATTCTGCAGCTCTAATAATAGTAAAATACCATTGAAATAGCAGTGATGAGCAGAAATGTTGAGAAAAAGTCAAAAGAATAAAGGAGGTGAGATATCACTCACATCTAAATACAATTTTCTGAAGGAAATTATTGAAGTGTTCCAGATGGACTTAGAACACATCTGTGTATGATGTAAGAAACTGCATTAAACACATTTAATCAGGTCATACAGACWGCAAATATTATGCCAACTGCRTTACCTATACATCATTCACAAAAATCACCCTGGTGTTTGTTTTACAAAGAATAGCCTGTTTGGCAGAGTATTTATTTTTTCTTATGATTACATCAAAACAGAAGGGGGAAAAAAACCCTGCTCTACAATCCTTACAGGTCTTGTAGTCAAATCCTGTACATACAGATAKAATCATCTGTGCCTAGAAAGGGTTCCTGCATGTAAATGGAAAAACAGCCACATACACTCAGCAAAATAAAGTTTCTCCTTCATGAGTAGGGAACCCCTTCACCACTGCCCTGTGGCAGAGCTTGTGAGGYATGAAGACTAGAGCAGAATTGTTATTTCTCACACTCAAGGAGGGGCATACATTAGAAGATGGCAGGTCTGGAGTATATAAACAGAAACACATTATTCCCCTTAATTAAATTGTAGGCCCCATTACTACAGGATGTTGTGAACGATAAATGGGTTCTAAAAGAGATTAGATGAACTCACAGAGAATAAAATGTCTGTCACAGAACATTAAACACAACTGTCAGGCTACAGCTGGGTCACAGAATATTTAATTGCTCTCTGCTGAAAGGTGGGGTGATGTGCCTGAGAAAGGATCGCTCCATACACAGCCAGGCTGCTGCAAGACAGTTCTTCCTTCCTCTAGCTGGAGACTGGGCTTGACAGACCCCTACTCTGGCCCAAGAGTAAAGTTCTTTATCCATTCTTCCTTCTTCCACTGAGGCAGGTCCGCAACTACTGTCTTATTTTTARCATTTTGTCTTGGCTCAAAAAACTATCCTGTAACTCTTTCTAAAAGAGTTACAGCAACACCTGTAAGTTGAGAGGTTCATTATATATTGCACTAACATTTAAGAAATTTTGGACTGCTTCAGATCAACCCAGTAAATTGGGAGCAATTGGTTCTGAGGAACCAAGTCACCACAAACTAGTAATTCTGTGATACTAAGGATTTTCTTAAATCTCAGCAGCAAACTTTGTAAGAAACCTCAGCTGCACRTGATGGCTTCAGAAGCAAGGTGAGAAGGTTCAGATTGGACATTTAACAAATTCTTCACTGTGAAGGAAGGATGGTGAGACACKGGCACAGGTTGCCCAGAGAAGTTGTGGATGCCCCCTCCCCAAAGTGTCCAAGGTCAGACAGGATGTGACCTGAGCAACCTGGRATAATGAAAGGWGTTCCTGCCATAGCAGGGGGTTGGAACTGGATGATCTTTAAGGTCCCTTCCAATCCAAACCATTCCAGTGTTGTCTATGTTTGCAGATAATTTGCTCCAGTACACATGATTAAAAGGAGTTCTACAATGTGATTTAAAAAAAAAATCATTCAGCACAACAAACCCACGTTATTCTTTCAGTCTTGTGCCAAATGCAATGAACCATCTTTCAAGTTTACTCACTGAAATTGCAAATATTTATGTTAGTTACTCTGCTGGTCTGTGTTCATGGCTTGAGTGTGTGAAATACAGCAAAGGCCTTGTTCAGATTTTTCTTATGGGTGGAAGTATTCTCAAACAGACAAGCTCAAGATTTCATTCATGAGGTCCCAAATAATGCCTAAACCTTACTGTTTGAAACCTAAATATCCATTTGTAAAAAAGCCCATCTAATTTAATTACAAACTCACCCAAAACAGAAACCTTCTTTTCAAGTTATCTTCTCTACTTAAGAAAACAAACATAATTTTCATATGAAATTGAGCCTCCCAAAAATCTCATTTTGTTTGTTTAGTTTGGTGTTTGGATTTTTTGGTTTTTTGAAATTCAATTTTTTTTAGTACAGCTAGAAATCTTTGCCTTCAGAAACAGATGCCTGCAAAAGTGAGAAGACAACTGATTTCTATGAACATCATAAGAACAGTGCTCTAATTGCAGAGGAATGCAATTTTTAGACTAATCTGCTTTAAACTAATGTTAATAAAGTGCTAACAAATCAGACTTTTTATTTTTGTATCAACAATGACTTTATTAAGCATAATACAGGTTTTGGTCAGCACAGAAATTGCATTCCCACCTTTTATCCCCCCTCTTTTTTCTTGTGATTTACAGTTTTGGGCATGAAAGCCTAAGGCAACTACATTTTATGTAGTCTTAGAACCAGAGAATCAATGAATGGCTTGGTCTGGAAAGAACTTTAAAGATCATCTGCTTTCAATCCCCTGCCACAGGCAAAGGCACCTTCCACAAGGCGAGGCTGCTCAGGACCTTAAACCATAGACAGCACAGACACAACAAATATTTTAGCTGCACATAGTAACTCTTTCTCTACCTGAAGTGAACAAAAAGAGGCAGGCATGCATGTTCTGAAATACCCTGCCATACCCGGATGTATAAAATACAGAAGAAGCACTGGAATGGAATGGTGGAATCACCATCCCTGGAAGTATTAAAAAAGTGAGGGGTCTGGCACTTAGTGATATTGCTTAGTGTACAGGGTGGTGCTCAGCAGAAGGTTGGACTTGATGGTCTCAGAGGTTTTTCCCAATCTTAATGATTTTACGATTCCAAGACCCAGTATGATTTTTGGAATCTGGTATTTTTGGTAATGAATTGTACTGTTATTCTGAGGGTGATCTTATGCAGACAAAACCCTGAACTATTTTACAGTAAAGCACTTTTCATGTATGTTAAAACACACAGACTCTGATTGAAGAGAGCCCGCAAGTGAATCCAAGTTTCCTCAAGTTGCATTGACAATTTGGACAACTCTTCCAACAGGTTTGGCTCCGATGAGAGAATCTTAAGATGCAACTGAAAATGAAAACAAGCAGTGAGTGAAACTAATAATAAGATAGTAAAAAATTCAGAAGATTCCTTTGTTCAATTCCCATACTTTGCTTTCAGGAGATGTCCAAGTAAGGAAAGGACTCTTTTCCTCCAGTTCATTCCCTCCATCTACTGCTAACTCTCTTGCTAGTCTTCATAAGGTATTTTACATGTACTAGATGGGATAAGGCAGCAAAATGTCTTAAACAGCCCATATCTTTGATAGATCATCTTCTGGCTATCCTGCTGAATCTACCCTAATCACACACTTCCCTAGAGGGAACTTTTCCCACTTTCTGACCTGCATCACAAATTCCTGTTTAAGCTAGAAAGGCTAGACAGATGCCCTGAGGTCAATCAGGATTATTATTTTAATTAACYGTGTTGCATACATCAGGAAGAACGATGCCAGCACACTCCACAGCAATACAGATGGATCATGTGTCTTTATGTAAAAAGCGTCAAGCTTGTTAAAACAGAAGGAAGAGAAACCTTCTGATCTTGTAGCAATTACTACCACATAATGGATGGAATAGTTATTTTCCAGACTACAATTTAAATCTAAGAAGTCTTGACATTCGGCTTTGGTCTGAAATACAGTAGGTTCACTTTGGATATTAAGAAGAAATTCTTTACTGTGAGGGTGGCAAGGCACTGGAACRGGTTACGCAGAGAAGCTGTGGATGCCCAGCAATTACATCTGCTGAATGTGTGCAACAACACTTCCCAAGTAAACTGTTAACTTCTTTCATATAGTTCTAAAAATGGAACAAATCTTAAGMACATGTACATCAGAAAGGTTTCAGCCTTCTGCAGAGCCCATTCCTCCCTAAGAGTAACTGCTCCTGTGCTTCATCACAGTATCTTTCTAACTCACATACACTCTGGGATCATTTCATTAGCTCTGTCATACTCAACAGGTAACACATGAAAGGCAGCCCACTGTCATGGAAAGCAGGTCAGGCTTGCAATGTCTGGTGATAAATCCAACAAAATGCCTGATTTCCTTCCTAACCACTGTGCATTAAATTCTTTRCTTACTTAGTTTAACAACTAACAACCACTAAGAAGTTAGGCATGTTACAAAAAAAAAATAGGAACAATTCTAAGCAAGGAATACTAAAACAAAACCTGGACCTCTTCACAACACCTTTTGTTTTGCAARTTTTTCTTGACTGTGAACAAATTAGCTGCCACATCATCCAATACATTCAGCTACACATTTTAAAACCATTCTCAACCAAAATCAACTAAGATAAYTCGAGCAGACAATTTAAACCTTTATACTGAGCAACCACAATTCTATATAGGACTAACATAAAATTTTGTAAGAGAATTGTTACCTTTAAAAATAGTGCCAGATATGCCTGAGCAAGTTCAAAGTTGTACTTCTTGTTCAGCATCATCTCAATCATTCTCAGAAAGCTCAGCATCACCTCCATCGAGCCACCACCTTCAGGGGCCAAACTCCGTAGCTCTATCTCAATATTTGATGGCCCCAAGCTTTTCAGCAAGTCAAGTGGAGCTTTATCTGTGTTAAAACATTGAGAATCCATTACCAGTAACATCTGCAGAATAGAATCCCACAGATCCTTCTTAAGACAGGCTTATTCCAAAATTCATAAGCAATGAATACAAATTTCAAGCTTTTACTGTTTGCTTACTTTTTTGTTTCCAACAAGATGTCTTCCAGTCTACAATTTACTGTCCCACCACACACTACAAGTACAGATGCACTTTATTTGTAAGTTTCCTTGAAAAACACAAGTAACATCTCCATATTCACTTCACTTCTTTTCCCGTTTTCTTTTAACCTAAATTTTTTACTAACCATGTAACACTATAATTTCACATCACCTGGCAGAAAGAATGTACATACTTGAGATTTCGAGCTGTTACTGTGAATACACTCTGAAAGAGAGCACTGCCTTTACTAGGCACCTTTGCTCTCACTGACATTAAGTGAAACTAGAAATCTTGCAGTGCATCTGACGTAATTATTACTTTTGTTAAGTGAATTCTTTGTGCTTTGCYTGGAAACCGGAGGGTGTTGGGGGAAAATCTTTTCCATAATAGAAATACATTCAATTTACAAACTTTCCTCCTCCTCGCAAGTGTTCCTTCTCAGGATTTCTACACTTCTACCTGATGACCTATGAGGATTCCATCCATTTGCTTTAAAATGAAGCAGCAAAAATATGTTTGGTTGAACATGCGTCTGATAGTTAAAACCTACTAAAAATGTATTGTGATGAAGATTTCTTTTGTTAAGAAGTTACTAAGAACACCAACTTCATGGTAACTAATGGTATCAGAAACTGGCTAATATTCCTTAGGTGGTATAAATCAGTATTTGATTACTATAAAAATCATTAGCTAGTTTTAAATATAAACGTGATTTCAACAGTACTAAACAGATACATTGAACACCCTTTTTTATGACATTAAACAAACCAAGTGTGGAACATATTGTGAAGCTGATAACCTAAAACATGGCTGCAGCTCAATCTGTGTTCCACAGTCATGACTGTCAAGTGTGAAACCCCACTTCCATCCCAAGAGTAAACCACCATGGCTTCTAGCATGGTTCTGCTAGAAGTGGTTCAGCCACCTTTGGAAGRGAGGGCTGTAACCCCTCAAGAACAGAGCCATGTTCCACATCAGCAGGTTCCCCAGCCAGGATCACCAGGCTCCCTGGATCGTGGCTGTGGCACAGACCCTGGAGCACACCTGTCTTARGGCAGAGGTGGCCTGAGGCAGGTCCACATGTCCACTACCACAGTGCATCAGAGGCACTTACCCCCTGGTAGAGCCAGCCTCCAGATGCTTCGCAAGGTTTTTAAACACTCACCTCTTCTCTAGGTGGCTATGAAGCAGTTTAATACAATAGTGTCAATTGAAATACTAAAAATACACTGTAAGAACATGCCTCAGTTGTGACTGATCAAGAAGTTTGGGACACAAAATGTTTTAAGAGGACTTGAGCAAGCTGGTCATCTCAAAAGAGTTTAAGCAGAATAATTCCCAACAGAACTGCTTTGTGGACAAGCTACTGTCCATTTACACTTCCAGCTCAGCTACATTAAAAATCATTTCCAAAAAACTGACTTTCACTGATCCTGTAGCAGCACAAAACAAACATGAAAAATAGCTGGCACGTTCCACAGGTCATTCAAATGATTGAATTTTAAAATGAACTCGATGTTCCAAGAAATCCAACACCTTAACATTTAGAATTTATTTCTTCTTAAGCTTTAAATTACACGGCAATGAATTAACACTGGAAGTTTGCTGAATGTCTGGTGAAGTAGCCCTTGAGAGGGGAACTTGCTAGGCACATTATGTTTTTCGTGTTCCAGTGATTCACCAGACTATTCCCTACCAAATCAATCCCTTCCTTCCACCCTTTCCCTACAAATGACACACAGCACCTTTTCTGTGTGAGATCATCAGTTTTTAAAAAAGACTCATGATCTTAGGAACATAACCTTCTTCCTTCATAAGGGTTTTTGGCAGAATTGGGTTCCAATTGGGTACAAGCTGCAGTACCAATGGATCTTTGATCTTAACTGGTTATCTGGGTATCAGATCACTCTCTCTTTGCTACTGTACTATGCATGTTTTTTTCCTTGCAACTGTTACAATTCCGATATATGAAATCATATCCATATAAAAATAAAAGCATCATCAACATTTTTAGAGAAATACTTTGTTAGCTTACATTCGTTGGTGCTCAGGGCTTCTTCAAGATGAATGCAGAAATCAGATTTCTGTGCCAGTACTCCAAGGTTTACTACCTTTGACTAGACCACAAAAACAGAACAGTATTTACATGAATATGCAAACAAATTTTTACAACTCAAATAGATTACTTTCCTAATGACAGAATAAGACTCCAAGAAATAAAGCAAYAATGTAGTGAGTAAAAACTAGTGCTTTAAAGTCTGGAGATTTAATTCAGCAGTAAAAGGCATTTAAAATTTCTTTAGAACACACTACATAAACACAATTGCACTGATTTTTGTTTTTACCTGTGCATCATTTTCCTCCTCTGGCGGAATGTATCGGGGTATAAGACCAGGAAGTGTTGGGATGAAGAAAGGCGCTGACTTTGGAACTTTTGGTGGCTCTCTTGGTTTATTTTTTTTCTGTTAGTTAGATATTTGAATTAAAATCATTATCATCATAGTAAGAACCCATGGAAATATTTTTGTCAAGAGTTTTATTTTTAAAATACTAAGAAAACTCTTAAAGACTAACTGAAAAGCAAATATACAGGTAAAATATTTTACCACTAATTATGAAGCAACTATTCAGCAGATAAACAGCCCCTCTCCCAAATACCAGGAATTGTGAAAAGCACCATATAGACTTCTACTGACAAATATTGAAAAATTTGTCAAAAGCAGGATCAAGTTTTGAGAATAGGCAATGCATTTCATAGAAATAGGGCAGATATATCTGGATGTATGGTATTTTTTGCACAGTTTCAGTACCTTGATAATATTGAGGTTGAGGAGATTTTTCCACCTTGATTCAGGTAGCAAAGAAAGGGTCACCAGCTGCTCTCCCAGTTGTGCAGGTGAGACATATTCTATCATTTCATCATATGGCTCTTCATCTCCTGACGCATCCACATCTTGCAGAAACAGATATCTTTGATGAACACTGATACTCTACAYTCATTTTTTAAAAAATCAAGCCCAACACTTTTGCTTTGCAATTTTTGAATAACAAAGGCGTAATAGTTATAGACATAGATGTAACATAACATAGAGCCAAAAAGCTACACAAACAATCTGTATTAGCCTTATAAAATATTAAATTTAAATTACAAAAAAAATTATAGCTAAGATGCAGAACCGAATAACCAYAATTTTATAGACTAATAAGATTTGTCCACTTTGGCTGAGATTATAAAAGAGCAATTTGTAGAATTCTTTAAGAAAGAACAATGGACTACTGTTAAAATGTTATTAACTGTATAAATATCTACACAGTAATTTTAGTTCTAAGTCATAAAGTTRTAAAATCCTTGCATTTAAATCCTTGCACAATATTCACTACTGCGTCACAACGTTTTCACAGGCTGAAGTGGCAGATAAAAATGAAGACAATCTCAACATTAARGTACAACATCCCATAATAAGTCAAAATGTCACTCAGCAGATTTTCTCTAGATCTCTGGCATGGTCTTGGCCAAACATCCCTCCCTTCTTTTTGTAAAATATTACTTGGCTAAAACAATGAATTGAATAGAAAAGCCTGAAACCACAAAGGAATGTAACCCATTAAGAGCCCTTAGTATCTAAACAGGAACTTTACATTTGCTGAAGACAGGGGGTAGATTAAAGCATTCAGMCAGAATCAGCATAAAAACATTCAAAGTGTTGGGATGAATTCCCATCTCCCTAATTCAAGTATGTAAAACAAGTCTGTGCTTGCCAAAGCAGCCATCATAAAGGATGTTCTAATGGCCAATATCGAGGTGTGCTTTTCCTCCAGATGGAAATGAAAATACAGGCACTCCAAACTCGGGCAGACAAGATCTCCATCTAGAGGACTTCTGAAGCACAATCACTCCTATTAATTTTGCAAAAAATTCCACTTAGGTCTTTCTTTCACTGAGCACAGACACATGGCATGGCAGGTCAGCTGAACCCAATTCTCTTGCCAACAAGACAACAGCAGTGAATCTATGGTACACAAGCAGGGAAACAAACTGCAAGGGGAAACTAAAAAATGCTTTTTTCATCTGAGGATTACCTTGCATGGGGCAGGTGCTGGGGAGTGCCACCAAAGAAGGCTCATAATCGGCAGGAAGCGGCCGTAATGACACAAGAGAATACAAAGCACGGTTTGACCTGAAGAAATGACAAACATCTTCAGATGAATTCAGGGAACAAGTACTTCAGAAATAATTGGTACCGGAGTCTAATATTGCTACATTATGGCAATTCTCCAGGCCCTACTCATGATTAGTTTTTCTCATCTACCAGATAAGCAGGAAATGACATGCGGCAACAGACTCACCTGAATGTCTGAAATATGTTATGCTCAATAATAATTGCCAAGAACACAACAACAATGGGCTGCAGGACCTCAGTGCTCTTGAAGTGAGAGGCCCAGAACTCACTTGAAGGGTGACCTCACCAGCGCCCAGTACWGGGGCAATAATTGCCCTGGTCCTGCTGGCCAAAACATATTTCCACGTGCCAGCGCTCTACCACCCTCACAATCAACCATTTCTTTCCACTGTCTAATCTAAATCTATCTTCTTTCCATTTGAAGCTATTCCCCCTTGTCCAAAGCTCCTCCCCAGCTCTTCTGGAGCCCCTTTGGGCACTGGAAGGGGCTTCTAAGATCTCCCCAGAGCCTTCTCTAAGATGAACATTATGCACAACACATTATGCAAACATAAATGGCTCATCCTGCTTTCACAGAATTTTAGGACAATACTCTTTAGCAAATTTTCTTCAGGTTTAAAACATGCACACAAGTAATTCTGGTGAATTGGTTTTTTTGTCAATATGAACTACAGCTAGGTAAGAACATCTGTCACTATTCACAAGGAAGCACTTTTAAACACAWGGAAGGCCTGACAATTGCACAGTCCTCAGGCAAAACTGCAACAAACACAAATAACCTGAAATAATCTGTCAATTGAAAGGGAAAAAAACCCAAACCACTTCTAACAGTGTGTTAGTTCAGTACCAGACCTGAACAGTCACTGGCTTAAAAGCTTTATCGGGAGGAAATTGAATTAAACATATTTTACCTCTGTACTCATTTACCAACAGAAAACAGAAATAATCACCACTTTCAAATACTGCTCAAAAGTCTCAGAGACAACGGAAATACAAGAAAAGCACTTCTGAAAGAAACACTATTTGGACAAAGACATTTCAAACGGGCTGAAAAAAKGTAGTCTAAGAAAAGCTTGAGGAATTCCTAAGACTAAGAAACATTTAGGAAAAAAGAGGCCATTTAAGTATCAGAACAGATACTCTAACTGCAGAAATTTTGTGATTTATGAACCAGAAGAATTCAGAACATTTGGATTAATTAGAACCAGAAAACACAAAATACTGGAGATGATACTTCACAGGGCAATTCTCTATTTGCAAAAAAGGTGATGAAAAGAACTCTTTCCCATCCTCTTTCTCTAACTTTTTCCCCAAATCTTGTGCAGGAACAGATGTATTATACTCACCACAAATAAATTCCAAGATCATCCACATGTGCTGAAGCCAGAAAATCTCCCGTAGGGGACATAGTGAGGCTCACAGCTGCAGAGTCTACCAAAAAACTATCTATGAGGCTATGGAGAAAAAACACAACAGAGAAATTATCAGCAAGATAAACTTGTTTATCTACACATACCTGAATTACAGCTGAATGCAACCAGGCCACTGGAAGTATGGCCACAAGCCAGGATAGTAGAAGCATTCAAATATTTTATATAAATGTTGCAAGTGAACCGCACTRTGCAACAAACCACTTATCTCTACAAAATTGTCTAAAAACAGATGAAGACACCTTTTTAGATACCACAGTCTGAGGAATGTGTGAAGAACCATTCAGCTGGTTATGCCTAACACTGACCTCCTCAGTGGCCATAAATTCTGTGCTTCCAGTCAGCCCCAGCTGCTCTGACTGACAATTCCCTTTCTGAGCACAYTTCACATACACCTGGACCTGATGTTTCCAAACCAAAGTATGAACTGTAAAATGCAAACTTTCATCATCTGCAACAGTTTGGGCATCTTCAGCCTGATAAACCATTCCTTGATAATTTTTTTTCATGATTGTAGGAAATTGAAGAAATAAGAAAAAAACCAGTTAAAATAGTCATTATGTRACTATTGCAACAATGAGAAACTCAAGTTCTGGATGATGCACTTCCTAGCAGACTTCCACTCAAGACCAAGGTCACAGCATTGCTTGTCACTTGGTGAAACATAAATTTCAGTTACCTCAAATTTTAAGTTGAATTTGACAACTAGTTCACCAAGAGAAACAAAAAAAAAAGAGCGGGAATACTTTGTTCCTKTTTACAGCTCTGCAGCCCCATCCTGTTCGCTAACCAGAGCAAAAATATTGATGCAACAAAGCAGTTTAAAATTTAGAATCTTGTGGGCATGTGTTTTCTTAGATACTGAGCACTCCTGTRATAATGTGACAAAAATAAAAGCGTTTTTTTTCCCCCTGAACTGAATATTTTATTCCCTCTAGATGTTCCTAGACACGTTGCAAATATTCAGGTAAGGGAAAAATCATTCATCCCTTTCAACATAAAATACATAAACACTAAACCTATAAACCCCAAACTTGTATCATACATTTTGCACACAGTGCACAATGACTAGAAAAATTTACCTTARAAACTTTTCCTTAGTTTCAAATCCATCCTTTTATCATAATTCTTATCTGYAGCTGAGAAATTCTGTTCAATAAATCAACCACAAAGAACTCCAAAACAAATTTAACAAKAAATTAAGTTTTTCTACTTACTGAACTTAACTCCTTATTAAAATTACAGACTTGGGGGAAGGAGGGATCAATCTGCTACAGGAAATAAGACATGCTKGTAATTTTAACAAAAAAAGCTACATGAATCCTGCCTGGGGAAGCATACCTTTATGCTTCCTGCCTAACTCCAAAACTGAGACAATGGAAAGTATAAAACTCCTGAGCTCATATTTAGTAAGTCTCTTATGCTATTCTGTCTCAAGTGCTCCATCCAAGCTATGACCAGTCAGCTCATGTCCCTCACTCTTTAATTTGTCTAAGCTGTAAGAAAACCAGAAAACTCTGCATAATGCCAGGGCTCCTGCTTATAATTTTCTTTTCACGAATCTGCAATTTTTCCCCAGTTTTTGAAAGCTCTATATTAAAAACACACACTAGGAAGACTTACACTACGTAAGGATTGTTAAGCACCACTCCCAAGTAAAAACAAATGTCCAGCTGATAGCTATCAGACCATTTATTAAAGTCAGTTGGTAATTTTCATCATGTAGGTTTCTAGAAAGATGTTTTCCATCTTTCTATAAGAATAGTTTCAAAGCTGAGGCTTTAGAACACACAGTTCATGAGATGTTTTTTCTATTWATGAGCCACAGAGGTAAAGCAAGCATCAGGCCTTTTATTAAAAGCTGTTCCTCCTTGTCAACATATCCCTCTGCCTATAGTTACGGGAAAACCTTGCCCCTATTTACTGAAAAAATAATTCAACCTAACTACATTTAAGACAAGGGCATCTTATGTACCYGCCTTAATTTCAGTTTGACCCAAATTTCAGACACAAGAGATAAAATATTTAGTTTTGTTAGGTGCAAAAAAAGAACYACTCCCAGACTGCTTTTAAAAAACACTATGAACGGATTCTTACCGCAAAGTGTTTTGTTATTAAAGAAATGAAAGAATTRACTGGTTAATAATTGATGCTGCAGTTTTTTATAGGTATATTACTCTGGGAGRGAGAGAGTGTTGGACAGATGAGGAGCTGAGTGCTAATTTCCTTCCCATCTATACTGGAAAGAAGACACTTAACATCCCTCCTGTCCTATTTTAGACTAGTGTCACTCATCATGCAAAAGCMGGCCAAGTGTTTGCTGAGATGCAAAGGACTTTTGTTAGGAAAATGAGAACTTTTAGAGTATACAAAATTATTTACCAAACCACATCAACAATCAACCCAAATGAAACCTTTCAGTTCCAGGCACAACCACCAGAGCTGCACACTACACAACATTACCTTAAATCAATGGGAAAAAAAAKCATCTGATGTGCTGTTGAAAGAATGCACTGGCAGAACGCAAAGTTATTTTTCAACTTGTTTTTCCTAGGCTCCTGAACTTCTTGTGTGTACTTGCCTAYTTCTCCCAGAATAAAGTTTGGCTGAGAAGACTACTCACAGTGGATCATGCAAGTGTATTTTTGGCAGTTGTAAGCACAAACAAATAAAAAATACAACTGATGTAAAGCCATATGGTGTTGTTAAAATGAATGTAAGTGAAAACAGGTTTCTCTTCACAAAACCAGCTGGAACTCTGCATCCAACTCTGGGGCCCCCAGCACAAGACATGCATGAAGTTAGAGCAGGTCCAGGAAAATGATCTGAGTCTTGGAACACATTTCCTATAAGGAAAACTGAGAGGGCTGGGCTGCTCTTCACCCTGGATTACAGAAGGCTCCAGGGGACACAATCTTGTGGCCTCTCAACACTTAAAAGGAGCTTACAAGAAAGATTGAGATCTTTAACAGAGCCTATGGTGACAGGACAAGGGGCAACAACTTTGGACTGAAAGGTTTTGATTAGATATAGGGCAGAATATTTTTACAATGAGGGTGGTGAGGCACTGGAACAGGCTGCATAAACAAATTGTGCATGACCCATYCCTGGAGGTGCTCAAGGCCAAGCTGGAGCTCTGAGTAATCTGATCCAGTGAGAAAAGTTCCTTTCCACATCAAGACAGTTGGACTAGATCTTTGCTTCCAACGMAAAAATCTGTATGATTTATGAGCACCTCAGCACATCACAGTGCAATCCACCTTGAGCAGTCTCTTGCCCTTTACATTACAGTGCTGCTTCCAGACAAGGAACGAATTCACACTCACACTACATGGAAACTCCAGGCGCCATCAACAGATCTTCAGYATCTACAGGGTTACTCTGTACTTCCAGAAAAGGAGACATAGTGCTAGCACTGGACACAATTAAAATTGTGGGCACAGCTGTTGTAACATGTCCAACTCTGAGTATCACATCTGGTGACAGATAATCATGCCAGAAGGCTTTTTGCCATTCATCAGGCAGGGGATTATTACTTCTGCTACTTGTTTATAAATTGACTCACCATCCAGAGGGAAGGTCCCATGTCTTAATGGAACAGTCCATTGATGAAGTTATCAACCAACGACCATCAGGACTGAAAGTCTAAAACAAAATAATAAATTTCACRGCATGACCAACAAGCCAGTCTTCACAGGAGGCTTTGTCAAGATTATACTGCTCCCTAAAACCAGGATGAAATGGCCTGGCCATAAACCAAAACTGACAACACGCTACTGAAAGTGAGAAAAATCAAAACTAGAAGGTTTTTAAGAATAGGTTCAAATGTAAGACACAGGATATATCTCACTGTCAGTCAAATCACCKWGGTCCTCACTTTTATGTTAATCATRAAAACTTATTCCTTAGCATAAAATTGAATACCTCAAGTAAATACTGATTTAGTAGCATTCAGAAATACATGTAAAGCTAAAAACTATTCAAGTTTTTAAACACTACAATGGACTAGTACATAGGATGTAAATAAGGAATTATAAGAGTGCTGCATAATCTCTTCTATCTTCAGCTTGCTCATCTTTTCTATGTACACAGCTGAGACTACTGTACAATTTTGCTCCTCAACATGGCTTTCATTATTCCCAATGCTTTGGTTTGTTTGACCCCTCAAAATCAGCTTGCTGCAAAGTTACAGTAATATCACAAAGCACATTAAAAAATTGATGGCAATTTGACCACTTTACAATTTAAAACTAACTTGGCTTAAAGTGCTGTGGAGCTGAACTACAGCTTTAYGGCTCACAGCTGAACATTACACAAACAGAGAAATCCACCATCTGTAAAACATGTTAAATATCTGTCTGTCACCTTTCACAGAGAATAAATTAAAAATTACCATATCATTAATGCGTCCATGGTGTCCTGAGAATGTCCTGACAATCTTTCTGGTTTCTATGTCCAAAACACTAATAGTGAAGTCATCAARGGCAATTCCCAGAATACCACTGCCAAGAAACACCAACACATATGACAGGGAACACTCAAGAGAAAAAAAAAAAAAAATATTGCTCCTAACATTGATCCAGGTATATTTTGTCCTAAAATAATCTGATAATCAATGTTACATTCCTTCAGACTAACAAAATACCTTGTCACGCAGTGTCTACTAGTCAGCTGTATTTCAAAGCATCAGAAATATAAACTTATTTAGAATACTGGTTGCCACTCTAGACAAGTACATACACCAAACAATATGTACATGAAATTACTTCATGAATTACCTGTCTCTGTGAAGCAGAATTCCACTCGGTGAAGAAGAAAGTTCAGTGCAGTAAACTAGATCTTTTGTTTTGAATTTCCAAAATTTAATTAATCCTTCGCTACCAGCTGTGATTACTAGCTGGTTCAATCCATCCACTGCTAGYCCTCTAACGGCCCCTTCATGTGCTGCAAACCAAGAGAAAGGAAAGTATTATTTCAGATTTTAAAATTAGCACAGAAATCAGCTGAATGCCAAGCACTATTCTGTTTGTCTTTGCCTGACTACAAGGAATGAGCAGCAAGAATATGACAAACAATTCAAACATCGACAAGATGCTCCAATATTCTAAGCCTTTTCTTCTCTACAGAAACCGAATAGCTTTCAAGTAAACACCTAGAATAAAGTAAGAAGTTCAACTGAAGTTGAGTGTTAGCTCTTATTTCTGCTTTCAGTTTGGGAAACTTTTTGTGACTGAGATTTGAGGGACTTCTTGAATAACTTCAGGAATGCCTCCAAGAGGCCTGACCACTCCCAGACAAAATTTACAGCTTCAGCTCAGGCACAAAGTCTGGGAGTTTTCCTTTGCTACTTCACACTGTGTAAAGATAAGCTCCTCTGGTTTGGGATCAATTTTATTAATCTGTGCCTACAGCTACTGGCCACTAAGCAAAATTAGAAAATTTATTCCACTATCAGTCAATTACTGTTTATAAAGAGATCACTTCAGGTTTGCTAAGCGAAATGGGCTTTGGAAATTCAGTAAGTCTTAGGGGCTCATCAGGACTCTTTCCTCATTTCTACAACAAAAAAATCAGAGCACAAGTGCCAAAAAAATGCATGAGGATACRTGACATGAAATATATATTTGTAAGCAACCATTAAAAGGAAGTGTCAGAACACTGTCACGTTATGTCCTAGGTTTGCAGCTGGGTAATTACAACTGATACCATATGCAAAGAACTGGACTTTCTTAGGACTTCAATTTCATTAACATGAAACATTCTCTCATTTCTAAGCAGGGAGCACAAAACAGATAGAGACATTTATCTAAGAGATACAGCTTCATAAAACAAGAAGTCAACTACTGAAAATGTGATTATCTCAATAAAAGGAGTGGAGAGCAGAAGATCTCACTTTAGTGCTAACCATCTTAGTAACTGACAATTTTGAGTTAAATAAAACCAAGAATATGCTGACTTCTGAGCTGTTGCAACTATCAAGGATCCTGTCCTTCAAATCAGGGTTCTGACTGCAAGATAGGACAGCACAGCGTAATCAGAAAAACTGGGACGTATCCCAAATTCAGCGCAGAACCTAAGTTAAATTTTCAAGATGACAGAACACCAAGTGACTGCTGCTCTGTCATGAGTGAGTATTTTGGAACTTCAGGAGTTCTTACCTTTGTCTTTGCCGTACTGCCCTCTGTGGATGCCAGACTGCATGTTATACACATCTACCTGTCCTGTTGACAACCCAATCACAGCAAAGTTGCCACACGAGGTTATGTCAACTGCCTTTCAAGGGAATTGAAAAAAATAATCAATAAACAAAGCACCTTCGAAAACAATACTTTAGGTGTTTATCCAKTAGCAAAGTTTTTAGGAAGTACACAGCATATTAACAATACAAAACAGTAACGTGTTGAGGAAACCCACACAGAATAAATTATATCTCAAAAAAAGCAGAGGGAGAAGCTATTAGAATATAATCAACATGTAATAAATATGGCAATGCATGGTTATGAAAGACAATGAAATCCTAGCTTCSTCACATCCTTCAGAATCCATAGGTAAAAATAGCAGCACTGTAACTTAAATATTTGAGATACCTACAAATTCAGTGCTTAAGATAAAGTGCAACACGGCAACTGCATGCCTCTTTCAATGCCCATGTTACCAATACCCTYCCAAATTAGAATGAGTTCATACAGAGTTTAAATAGCAAGAAAMAAGAGACAATGGCCTAAACATCTTTGGAAAGATATAGTCCAAAGAATCCATCAGTCAAAAGAAAACTGGGTGTTTACAATTCAACTTAACTTATCTGCCACTTAACTACTAAGGACAAAGTCAGAAAAACCATTTACCACARGACAGGACTGCATGAACACACATCMCATGAGGTGTGCCATAACAGTTCCTGGTTTAAGAAGCTGGTAAACCTCAGCAAACATTGGTATCTCCTTCACTGTTTGATAAAATGTCAAGTGTCCAGCTCAAGTTGTAAAGCATTTYAGAGGTAATACCCCGCACTGCAATTTGGAAACATACTTAATTGCATTGCCAAAAAAAGCCCAGYGTCTCAGCAATCTGCACTGTCAGAGCAAGTTAATCATCACAGGCATACAGACAACTCTGCATCACTGGGACAGAATAAAGCTAACACCAACCACCTGTCTGAGCCAGGAGATTAGTGCACTTAACCTGAGTGTTTAAGCAAAAAATTCAAAAGCACATTTTTTTAAGACCATAAGCATAACCAGTTCACTGGACACACAGAGCTGGCTGAAAGCACTTTGTAAAGCAACTAAAACACATCTAGACAGTTCTCTTTCATTCTAAACATAATTTTTGTACCCACAGAAATCAAAATAGCACATAAATCAAAATCCGTTAATTTGAAGAAATGTTATCCAAATAAACTTACTGTTGCATATATRTCAATAGGTTTGTGTTTGCTAAATTCTTCTGGTCTCAGTTTGTGAGCTCCCATGGAGGTTTTCTGATAGTTCCASGTGGTACAGGTTATATACCCTTGGTGGCAAGCAATAATACCATCCCAGTCACTCTGATGGGCCACTTCTGCAAGATAATACACAATTCCTTTCAGAAACAGTAATTCTACAGTCAAACAAGCTTTTCTGATATTTTAAAATACCTTTAGAGAGAACAGTTCATATTCCTGAACAGTCAAAAGACTACCACTCAGAAAAATCACTGGGCAAACTATGCAAGTTGTGCATATGTAGTCTAAATAAAATGCTAACAGCAAAACCACAAGCATTGTTTTGTACATGGTGCTTTGTGTCTTTGCATATTTTAGCCTCTGCAGCTTGAAATGTGTATTTCAATGTAATTGTTTTAAACTGCTTTAAATGGTTTAGACTGCTCAATCTATACACACATGCAGCTGAGTGTTTTTAACTTTAGCTGTCAAAGTAGCAGAAGCCACCAGATAACTTTAAGTCAGGTTTAAGARCTACATCTCCTTCACATAGCAATTTTTTTCCTTTGGCATTTCCAGGAAAATTTATCCAAAGCTCAGTATACAAACTTTGTAGTCAAATATAATGTACAGGGATCTAAATAATGAGCAAGTTTGATTTTTTTCAGGGAATTAAAAAAAAAATTGAGGGCTTGAAACTGGGTATTTACAGAACTTCAAAGATTAAAACAAGATACAAACTGGTTCACTTAACCAAACAAAGACAATATGGCAAAAAAGTAACAACACTAAAATGTACTTAAATAAATTTATGTCTTCAAACACAGGCCGATCTAATATTAATTTTCAAATTAATTAATTTTAAACATAAATCTTCAAAATAAGATTATATAAATCTTACAAAAAGATATTTGCAACAAGCATGCACACAGTCTGTATCACTGAAATCAACTGGCTCCACAAAACTGCAAATCCAGATCTTTCAACACAGGAAGCAATAAATCATCCTCAGAAGAGAAAATAGCTACACTTCCACAAAACAGACTTCAAGTCTGAAGAGGAGGTCACTAATTTAAAGAGGCACATTTTGGTGAAGCAAAGCTAATTGCATTTCTGCTTAAAGAAGTTAGTTTCAATATTTGCCTACTGAATCACAAATGAACAAATTACTTGAAATTCGACTTTGAAAAGCGATCAAATAAATGCACTGAGGAATCAAAATCTACCCCTGTACCTAAGATTTCCTCCTCAGCTGACAAAAGATCTTCATGTTCCCACCTAGCTGCTGTTTTTCCAGCCTAGAATAACATATAATCAGGAGATTTTGGCTCCTATGCAGATTTTCAAGCCAAGAGCCAGATAAGGATGTTTTAAGAGAAAATGCACTTTTTGAAATAATCTTTCAGTTTACCAAGTCAAATGCAATTTTAAACTGTCACTCAGTAGCTCATGAAAACCCACAAAATAATCTAATCTTGATATAGCATAAGCTTCCAAAACAGTAGTGTTTTGAGGATTAAAATGTGAAATGAACACATGATGATAATACAGTTACGTTTACCCTGCAATCTCAAAGACCACATACCTGAAGCAAAGGCTGTGATCGGTGGAAGTGCCATTGTATCCAGCTTAAGGCCTTTCTTTTTCGATTTCTTTTTGTTAATTGAACCTTAAAAACAGATATTAAGAATCTCAATATCATAGTTAGAACTGAAAATAATGGTTTAAAGGACAGTTAACAAAATGCAAAGCTCCTCAAATTTGGAAACATTTGGCTTACACAAACACATCACCACTCCCCAGGTCTGAAGGACTAAGAACACTAAGTGTTTCTGTCAAAATTTTATCAATGCTGAGCCAATCACCAGCCTTTGACATTCACACATGTGAGTTCACTACTCAACCTTCTTGTTCCAGGATCTTTACACTTTTAGAAATCCTGAGGCAGAGGTTCCCCTATCACAGTTAAAAACATGGTCCTACAGCCATGACTACATAAAGCAATATACAGCATCCAGCCCTCTCAACAACCGAAGAATCTGAATTCCAAATTTATGCCTAAATTAATTTTTATGCATATTTTCAAACTGATCTAAATATATATACAACAATATAGACAGATATTTAAAAGTATGAATTGTTTTAGCCTTTCTGATCCTTGTTCCCCCAAATGACAGCGTTCCTTAACCATGGCACAATGTGCAAGATGCGTGCAAGTCAAACTCGGTATTAAATCAAAGGAACTCAAGCCAAAAAATATGAATTGGGTAATAATTTAGTTAATTGAATAGAGGTGAAATAGAGTAAAAAGTTGCAATTACACATGCTGAAATGTCAGCTACTGCTTCACACGTTTATAATACAAAAACCATGCCCAATATGTCCTGCAGTGACATACACTGCCTGGCTCAGAAATGACTTTTTTGAACTACAAACCTGAAAGTAGACTTTATATAAAGCAAGAAGGACTGACTTTGCAGAGTAACTCAGGTGACTAACTTTTATAGACCAGTTAAAGTGAAAAAAAGGCCTGATAATGTTTTCATAAATACTTTTCAGGACTTCTTTTTACCAACATTTGTACTTTGACTGAAATACTTACCACGTCCTAAACTTTTATTGAACTTTTCATGCACTGTTGAAAAAGACTGCAGGGTCCCATCTTGACCTAAGAAAGTATTATCACAGAGCAGTGAGGAGCAAAAATCAACTTTACTCATAAGCTATGTGAGGAAGAAAAATAAAAGATAAGCGATAAGCAACTTCTAACACTATAAGATATTTACTAAAAATTCTGGTCCAAGAATAAATACAGACACTCTAAGCAGAACTAATGGAGCCTAATTTTCTATGGCTACATCCCATTCTTAGAACTCTGCCTCACACGTGACCCCTCATCACAGACACCTTCTCCATGTTCAATTCCTCTGTCCCTGTAATGTCTGTGACATTAATGACATTTTATGAAGTTAACTTGAGGAGATACCTCTTCTAAGGAAATCAGTGGCAGTTGAAAGGCAGCCCTAACTCATTTCTGTTGCACAAGGTTTTACCACTGTTTCAGAAAGGAGTACAGAAAGGCACTCTCTTTACACTGCACATATATCAGATTTCAAAGGTTAAGACCCTTTTCATTTGAAAGGCTGCCTCAGTGCCCTCTCTACTGCAAAAGCAAATTTGAAGACTTGTTGAGAAGCACTTGATTGATATTGTGTTTTGTCTGATGTGAGCTGAAATACTGACAACTTGAATCCAAGTTACTAGCAGGATGGCCAGCAAGAGAGTTTAGTACAGTAGTGTAATGTTTCAAATGTTGCCCAYGTAGACAATTAATTACTTAGGAGTAATTAGAGACTAGGTGGTGAATCTCTGACATCCCATTACTTAAGGGGTCTGGGATACAACATAGTCTGATCTAGAACTTGCATTTCCTAAGGGGTCTTTTGAAACATGCTAGTTTCTAAGGAAGGGTGGTCACTTATGCATTTTTACAATTTTAGATTAATATCTCAGTAAAAACCAACCTTGAAAATATATACAAGATATRTATTACAGATATATATATACAAGATATATATCTTACAGATACAAGTAAGCTGTAGTGAATTACAAAGACAGTGCAAGCCACAAAGTGGAAAAAGAGGTTACTAAAAACTAGCTACTAAATATATTATGCTGCTTATTTTTTCCCTGTCACAACCAAATTTCCCTAGTTGTTAGAGGCTTTAAYTCTGACCAGCTAATACTTGCTCAGAACAAAACTATTTTTATTTATCAAACATATAAATACAGACAATTGAAGCAGCTCCCACATTATTCTGTTTYTTAAGTTCTCTTCAGCTTACCTGCTGATATGTTACTCTAGGGAAACCTTGGCTTCCTACTGAAGTAGGAAAACTCCAGTGAAAATCTGCTACAGTAACAAATGACTGTTTGCATTAACTACCTACCACGCTCCATAAATACATTACAAAACATACAAAGTAAGATTTAGTGTATCAATAAAACAAAAGCACTTAGCTCTGCACATTTTCTTTATCACAGCAAGAAATCAAGACTGAAAAAGAATGAGAAATTATACCTGCACTGAGAATTTGCTCTCCATTCAGTCCATGGTATCTGATTTTTGTCGGTGGTGCACTGTGTCCCATTCGGTTTCTCAGTACACGACCTGCACCACCAGGGCCATCAAAGATCCACACCTGCACCCCAAAATCAGCAGAAAAACAAGGCTGATAAACAGTGCCTTAACAATAATCGCACCTTTTCTCAGTGGAACATGTCAGTGGGAGCTGGTGCAATCAATTTCACACACTGGCTTTCATCCTGGACCCTAAAATTTTGGATGTTTCCATCACAGCACCTGACTGTTTCCTGCTGTTCATTCTGCCCCTCCACCAAAGCCCAGTGGCATCAGATGACATGCAGCTGTCCTGGTTTCGCTCGGTCTGGTTTTTGGYGGTGGGGGGATRGGAACCAAGAAATCACAAAGATGGCTCCTGTGAGGAAGTTCTAGAAGCTTTCTCCTTCTTCTCCAGCAAAAGGATCCCTACCCCCTGTGTTTCAGAACCAATCYATTRTGGCTCTGAGGTTGATGGACAGGCTGCCCATCAGGCCTGGGCCAATTGCACAGGYTRGTTACACSTCTGTGATGACGTATGGTCTTGTACTTAAGAAGAATTCARAACAAGATRGGGGCGGCCGCCATGTAGTTTTCAGGTTGGTAGTATCGTGCACCAGGGGAAGGACARAGGAGGAAGGTGAGGAGATATAAGAAAAGAAATGGAGACCCAAGATCACAGTAAGAAGAAGATAGGTACTGTTGCTGTGGTGCTYGAACATGAAGAAAACAAGCTGTTCTCGAAAGGACTATTTCTTCATGGGAAACCTGTATAGAAAATAGAGGCCTTGCACTCAAGATAAAAACCTGGCATTAGAGGACTGAACTGATCATAAGCCAAAAAGGGGGCAGAGRCTTGGCCATCCTTCACGTCTCAAGCAAGCTGAGAAGAAAGTGTGCTCTGCCTGGAGATTTGAGAGAGCAGCCTTGCCCTCAGGATGATGCAGCYAGCCTTGGAGGACTGTTTTCCCTTCTCCCACGAGGTAAAGAAAAGAATCCCTTGCCATCAGCAATTATACACTGACTGTTTCTTGGGAAAAGAACTTCCACAGCTGTAAGAACTCTTCTCCTATGATGCTGGATGATAATWRTAATGAGTAGTCTGATCTATGTTACAATGCTCATACCCTGCCCCCCTTGAGCACGGGAAGGCATGGAGGGTGGGGAGGGACAACCTGGGAGAGACAGGTTCACAGAGAGAATAACAGGTGTCTTAAAATGTCCGTTTTTATTTCTTCTCCATGTAAGTTTTTTCCCTCTCTTTGTTTCCCGCCCCAGTGCCGTAGTATTCTTAGTAGTTTTCAGTAATAAATCTATTTTGCAACTTAAGTTATTCAGCCTGTCTGACCATTTTCTGGAGCATATACATATCTTTCTCTCAATAATGTTATGTTATCAAAAAGCCATAAATTTTAGTGTTAATTGGGCTTTTGCTCTCCCTTCTGCCTTCTCCAGTGCGGGGGGAGGGGAACGTCGTGGGTGCTCTGCTTTTGGCCAAGTTCAAACCACGACAGCAGCACAAGGGACTTTTGTCAACAGCAACTGCTTATGGCACAAAGCTTTATAAAAATTTAAAAAAATTAAAGACAGTATACTGGGATATAAAGTATGGCTCTGGAAAAGTGGATCCAAAGCTTTGCTGTTCAAGGCCAMTACAAAGTAAATAAAGTAATGACAACATGGTAGCAGATTTTTAAACTAGAGCTCTCTTCAGTCCARCTGAGAGCTAGCATCTTTTGTTTTGTAGTGCTGGTTTCAGAGAGCAGCAGCGATTGCAACTCACCCGTAGAGCATTGTCAGCACCATTAGTAATAAGAAGTGGCTCTCCAGGGACGAATGACATGCCAGCTATTGCTGTGGAATGGGCATCTTGCATCTGGCACATCAGTTTCTTCTCTTCTAGATCCCACAAAGCAATGTGTCCAACTGGGCTACCAGCTGCCATTACTGGGTGTCCATCTGTTAAAAAAAAAAAAAAAAAACCACCTAAAAAGGTCAACTTATTGACATGCAGCTCACCCTTAATGAGTTCTCACATTATAAAACTGATGCAAGGCAAGTCTATAATCACAAGGAAAAAGAAATCTCAAGTTGATGCTAGAAATAATATAGGTTTTAACAGAAATATTCTAATGTCAATCAGAAAAGAAACAAAGCTCACTGATAACAAAACCAGGACTTTTTCATATCAGATAAAAATAAAATACCTAAATCCAGCTATCAGAGCTAGAGATTTTGGTTGAAAACACAATAGATATTAATACAATAAGGCTCTCTTTCTACTTCTCACAAATCTTTCCACAGTTCTGTCCAGTAGCATTCTTCCTCAGCAGGGTCTGCATTAAATCTATATTCTGTTAAGATTTGTAAGTCTATTCAAAGATTAGATTTAGTATCAACAGCTCCGTAGGCAGGACCAACGTTAAAGCAACTAGCTTTAGCTACTCAGACAAGAAAAAGCAGTGAATACAACACAAGGTGTGAATACAAGGTTCCCCAGTAACATCCTTTCGGTAGTCCTCAATTACCAACACGTATCAACAARTATCAACTTTGGGGAGCAGGACACTGCTGAGAAGTAGGTTGGGACACTAAARCAAGGTGTACTGATTATTCTGCACTAATTCTAATAACTGTGTACTGTGTTAGCCCCTGGCACACGGCAAACAAACTCTTCAAATATGCTSTATGTCACACTTTTTGTGCACTGAGAACCCAAGAAAATGCTACAAAATGCTATAAAACAGCTAGCATGATGAAAATGCATGATCCCCTTACTTACTGCTACTTTTCTATTTTCCCTTCAGCCTCTGAAAACTGAAACCCTCAGCACAAATAYTGATTCTGAAATGCTTTATCAAAAACTACTTTTCTCTGTTCTATTTAAGTTTTAGTGCATTCATATAGATTTTCACTAAAGAACACTAGGACGTACCGGTGCGAAAAGATATCGCTGTGATGGGACCCCAGTCCTGCTGGAATTTCATCAGAGTTTCATCAAACTTAATATTATGTACAACGATATGACCAGATACAAGGCCAACTGCAACAACATCCACTGCTGGAGCCTGCAAGAAATGAAAAAGTTGTGTTTCCAGAAGCTGGGACTCCTTTTCAAAACACATCATAGTAAGTGCCCAGCAGGTCTGGTGGACTGTTATACATCCTCCAAGTCATCTAAGTTTTATCCTGGAAAACTGCTGACCATTTTCAAAGCTGTCATCAATGCTATCACTAAGTTTCAAGTAATTTTTAAGATATTCTATCTAAAAAGGACATATAGCAAACAGAATTATAAAATCTTCCCCTGAACCAACAAAACCTACATTTTATCAAACTCCAAAGCAAAATAAATTTGGCAAAAAAGTACCAATGTAATGAAGCTTCATGATGCACGTGCACCTTGCAAACTGAATTCATTAYACTGTTCAGTGAAGACTATAGATGTGATGAACAAAAAACAGGTAAGATGCYAAATTCAACAGAAGCAGGAACAGAGGAAGGGTAAATAATAAACCTTCAGTCAAGAGAGGCTATCACAACTACATGAGAAAATACAAGCCATCTTTACTGCTGTCATTTCAAACAATATTTTGCCTCTATTCTTGACCAGTTACATATGAAAATAAAAGATAACAAAAATACTAACTTGTGCAAGAGTTGTGACTGCTAAGCCCCATCCTGGAAACGAGTACAAGAGTTTGCTGTAGAAGAAACATAAAAAACCCATAAATCAATTAACCCTTGGGGATTTTCCATGAGAAAATGGTTACTTTGTATGTACTCACACAAAAAAATACACCAGCTTTCTGTCCTTATTAGTCAGATGAAAGAAAGAAAAACCCCAAATCTGTGATACTAATGACTAAGGTTAARAATAAAACTTATGGTTATTTTTTATGGAAAAGCTAGCGTTGTGCATTAATACCACAATGGTGACATAACTACATGACACAAMACATGAAAAAAGAGAAGTATCAGTGACATCATGGCAAGCTGAGTTGAGAGAATGGAATACTGATTTACGCAAGCTGATTTAACACCTGTTTACAGTAACGTACATTAGCAAGCAGTGAAGCTCAMTGTACCTTTAACTTTCACAAGTTAGAAAAGCAGCTGATCATGGTAGGTACAAAATACCGACATTACTGATGATCTAGTGGGACATGCTGAGAGACAACTGCATGTCTCAAATGCAAGTAATTACCTCCACTCTACCTGCCAGCTCTTCCTTGGACCCAAAACAACCAAAAAGATTAAGCCAAAAATGGGACGCAGGACGCCTGAACATGCTTCTGCTATTATTTTAATAGGTTTCATGGGAAAGCTATGTGATTCCAAGAAATTTAAAAGAAAATCAAATTCTTGAACAGCCCCTGACATTTTGCAAGGGGAGTAAACAACTCACAACMTGAAAGGCACCAGCATTCTTTGTTCCTGGAGATATGCCAACTGAAAACCTGCGCCAATACTCAGTAAACGATTCCATGTCCAAAACCTGCCATACTTAACAGTATCATTTGTTGACTATCAAACTACTTGGAGCATGAAGGCATCAAGAATCTTACTTGGATCTGATATTCCATAACTGCAAGGTTCCTTGTTCGCTCCCAAGGAGAATTTTATTCAGATAGGTGCTGGGATGCAGAATTGCAGAAACCGTGAAAGTGGCTTTATCAAAATCTAACTGAAGATATTCCTCTGCAAAAACAGTAAGAAACTGTGTTAGTGTGGCTACCCCTACAAACCTGCAGGCTTGTCATCCCTTGGCAAATGGAACAGCAGGGCTGATGTTTACTGTCCAAATCCTGCAACTGGTGTTTCTTACACTAAAGGATTAGCTAATGTGTAACAGGAGAGGCTAAACTTCTTTACTTTATAACATCTGCTGGCTTGAAGGTGTATTTTTTTCCCATGTAAGCCTACCCACTACAACAATACTGGCATGACTGAAGTGATTTTTATCTTCCTGAGGGATTCCTGCTCCTGCCTGAGCAAAACACCTCATCTGATTAGCAAGCCCTTTATTTGTTACWGCAACTTCAAAACCTCTAAAGCCGGGCTACAGACATTTTTGAGAACCAGCATCCAGGGATTAACACAGGCCACACCAATAAATGCCCTCTCAAGAAAAATTTTTAGGGCAATGAAGCACAATTTCACAAAGCACTTGGCAATGGCATGAGAAGATACTAACACAGACAAAAGGTTATTYGTCAGAATTTAGGCATACTTGGTCTGGTAAATATCAAGGCATTACAGGATTTCAGAGATAGTGCCAAAGCTGCTCTATCACAGTCTTTACAAGAAAATGGAACACTAAATGCAGTTTTTATATAATCGTGATTTTTTCACATCTATTTGGAATTTTACTGGGCCTCTACACATGGTGCAATAACCATTCATGAAGTATTACTGCAGGATTAGGACTTCACATTACCAATTAAGCAGCATTATCATTTAAGAATTTTCTGAACACATGCATTTAAGAAAAAAACTTTGTTTTTAAATTACTGAATGTTTAACAATGCTATCTGATAAAGCAGCAACAAAAATAAAATTTCTCACCTTCTGACTGTATATTCCAAACWATAAGGACATTATCAACATCCACAGAGATGATATGATCACCAAAAGGCTGTAGAAGGTGTATCCTTGCCTTGTGGCCTTCATAGGTATGAACCACCTACAATTTCAAAATAGAAATGCTTCCAGTATAAGATCTTAAAGAAGAATATCATGTTAATGTAATGCTTAAGAACAGATAAAACGTCAGCAACAAGTTCAAATAAAATTCATGGAAAGGCCACACAATTTGAAGYGGAAGATAGACAATTGTATCTGATATTTAAAACTATGGGCAAATAATATGCTATCTAAATATTTTTAATTCTTTATTTTCAATTAATTGAGCTTACATGAATTGATGTCTTATTTTTTTTAATTTTTAAACAGTTACTTAATTCTTATATTAATATGTAAAACACACTTCAGCCATTATGGAATTTGCTCCTACATTCTTCTGGCTTAAGCTTTTTACTCCTCATTCTAGAGCTTGTTTTCCTAAACTGAAGGTACCAAACACCTACAGAAACAGACATTTGTAGACAATTAACTATCTTGAAGCCACAAACACAACTGTTTTGTACAACTAAACAGTAAGTAAGTTAATAAAAACCTCTTTGTTCCTGGCAAARGCATGGAGAACATTGTCGTATGAAGCAAATATCAACATGCGATCTGCTGCCAAACATGTGATGTCTTGAGGCAAAGTATTACCTGTTGATCGAACAAAAGGAAAGTTAGACAAGTTTCAGGTTCCCAGCAAACGAGAAAGTTCAGAATGTATTTCTTTGGCATAGTGACCCACAAAGAAAGCTCTCTGGTCAAACACCTAGCTGAATTTTAGAAAAAATGCACCCATTCCAGAAGAATGAAAATATTACCAAGCATTAGCAATAATTAGATTAAGTTATTCTGCAAGTCTGGCAGTTAGTGACCCACTCCTGTACCTATCTCCTGATGACACTGGGAATTTAGTGCACTGAGAATAATCCTCACTCCCCATCTCATGACTGGTTCAGAAAGAATATCTAATATTGGGACATTTACTTTACTAGCCCAAAATGTAAAAGAGTCAAAGTTACAGACAACACAGTACAACTATAAGCTGCTGGTGTAGTCCCAAGCGGTAAAAATGCGAAAAAAAAAAGAAAAAAAAATCAGGGAAATATAAAAATGCAAATTACAGCACCTAAACATGTCTGCAGAGAAACACCAGAACAAAAATCACTGTGGGAGTGCACCTAGGACACAAACTTAGACAATCACACAGCAGCCTTTCCCACATAAGTGCTTTGTACTGTGAATTATTAGCACACACCAAGAAAACTGCACCCTCTGCTGTACKGCACCAGAGCTTTAAAAGGAGGAACTAAAGTAAGAAAAAAAGGCTGCACTCTATGAAGTGTCATTTGTTTGAACACATGAAGACTTCTTACCACAGCACCTCTGAAGTGACTCAGGCTTACAACCAGGTGACAGATACCTGGCAGTCCACAGGAGCTGTGTGCACAGCTGCTTAAGCCGAGTTTTAGGCAGACCCAAATTTAAAAAATCCAGAGCACCGACCACATAAYATCAACAAACCAACAGCACCATAAAAAGAGAGGCACAGCGCTATTTTTTTCAATCACAATTTTGTATGTCAGCATCATAGTTTCTCAAAAAGCTTAGRTGGTTGCACATGTAAGAAGATGCAACCCACCGAACAGAACATGCAATGTTTCTATGAATTTGCAAGATGGAAACAAAGTTACATTAATGCGTTTACAGCTTGAATGATGTACAACTGATCATCTAAATCTAGTCCTGGTTGTGCGACATTTATTCTCAAGTACACAGGAGCTCTGTTAATGAAAAATATTTTATGTATGAGGTCTCTGTAAAAAAACTTTGTGGTACACAGAAGTAAACAGAGCCCTCCTTTTGAGACATAGTGCATCCCTCTGAATCATCCAAATGTCAGCTGAAAGAGACCTTTGGAAATTAACTAGTCCAACATCCCACTAGCTCCTCACAAAGCTCGATCATCACCAGTACTAGACTGGGTCAGCTGCAGCTGTGCTCAGCTGAGTTGTGAACACTCCTGGGGAGGAAGCTGTTTTCAAGCTCTACCCTGTACCACAGTCACCGCTTAGGGACATTTCTCCTGCCCTCCACTGCGATTGCACTGTGACTGCACTGTGACCTGCACAATCTGTGGCTGCTGCCCCTTGCTGCTCTGTCCACCACCACCACCAGTTCAGCCCTGTCACCTAAGGGCCCTTCAGGTGATAGCTGCCTCTGGGTCACCCCATATCTCTCCTTTCTCAGCACCAAGCACATCCAGTTACCCCAATGTCTCTTGTCACGCTGCATGCTCAGCACCCCTCCTGCAGGAGAAAGGGGAGCTGTGAAAGGGGCAGAACCACATTAACAGGGCACTGCAGTCCAGGCATGGCCTCACCAGCGTGAGGTGCAGGAGAAGAACAGTCTTCCCTGACCTGCTGGCTACACTCCCAGTGAGGCTCGACACACAGCCTCACTCAGTTACCGTGCTGTTGGTCTGCATTCAGCCTGGCACCAGCACAGCCCCAGCTTCTCTCCAGCAGGATGCCACACAGCCAGTCAGTTCCCAGCTTGCTCTGTCCCAAGGTGCAGCAGGACTCGGCACTYGCCCTCACTGAACTTGGCAAGGCTCCTGTTGGCCCAGGCTTCATGTATTGCAGTACAGCTCCCTGGACTGAAACTCTGCCATTCTGGGTGTCAACTACTCCTCCTAAAACAGCATCCTCTGCAAGCCCATCCTAGGGGTGCAGGCTCATCACCCAGGCTGCTGSTGATGGTGCTGAAGAATGTGGGCCCTACTGCTGGCACCCAGAGTGSTTTGTTACCAAAGGCCAAGTGAATGTCAAGCCATCAATTCATATCCTTTGTATCTACCAGTACAACCAAATCTTAACACCCCCTGAAGACATCCATATCTATTTTCTCCATGTAATTATTTTCCTCCTATAACAATCTTCTAATAATCACAAAAAGAACATGAAAAAAGGATCTGAAATAAATTCAATAAATTAATAATTGAGCTTTACTCACTGTGCACTCCTTATGGCTTAGGGGTGTTCTTGGAAGAACAAGATGGTAAGAACAGAAGGTTCACAAGGCATGTCTCTAAGAGAACTGAACTCCACTTTCAACAGCAATCTATTTCCAAACTGGTAATTTATATTTCTGAGACTCCTTTTAATACATTTGAGTGTAAATTAGTATATACAGTTTATTTTCTTGCTTTTGAATTGAGAATGAAGTGCAGATGTGAGATGTCAAAAATAAAGAAAAAATATGGGAAGAACCATTTGTGCATACTTACTCACAGCAACAATACCAAGCTTCTTCACCTGCAAAGAAAATGTTAGAAAGGCATTTTTAGTATTTCGTTGCAATGAATTTGCTACAAACAGAAATTAAAACTTCTAGGAATTAACCTAGATGAGACAATGAATTTGCACACCTCACAAAATAGAAAAATTATTCATCCACTGTCTACCGAAAAATATACAAACAACTGGTAAAAGGAATGGCACAATACATTTGACTAGCCACCAGCATTAAGCTGTGTTTCCTGATGTGTTTTACCCTAATGCACAGGAAATTATGGAGATGGTTAAGGCACCGTGAGGAGCTTGGGTACCTGGGTTTCTGCATCATCTCTGCTTCCATTTTCACTACATCCAAACTGTATTTTAATTTTGTTCACACACAATTTGCTTTAGTTGCAAGCACCTAAGCATCTGTGCCCACTGATAACYACTACTGTACTTCAAAGGCTGTGAGGAAGATGGAGTGAACACTAAAAGGCATCATACAAATGCAGGAAAATCCGTCATGCCTGCACTCTGYTGTTCATAGAATCACTCAACTGTTCAGTTCCCGCTCCTTAGAACTGAAAATGCTTTCACTGAGCCCAGGGAAGTCACAGAGTCTCCCTCTTCTGAGACATCCCAAACCCACCCACACACGTTTCTGGGTAACTCGCTYTAGGTGATCTCCAGAGGTCCCTTCCAACAGTAAGGGTTTTATGATTCGAGCCCGCATCACAGGCTTTCATCCTGCGGAACTCAATTATACTCCTCTGTTTTCRTCCAGGAATTTTAACAGGACCTAACTGCCCCCGCCTCTAAAATGCAACCTTCAAAAGCTAAACCAGAGCGGGTGCACTTTGATTTATCATGTAAGGAAAGAAAAGCTCCAGCAGCCGAGCGCTCCCGAGGGGGATGGGCTGTGCCGTATCGGCTAGCGCTGCCCACATGGCTGAGCAAGCCCATTCCCGGCCGGCAGACTCCCTCTCTCCCTCCCTCCTTCCCTCCCTCCCTCCCAGTCACGCCGGCTGCAGAGGCGCGGTACCGAGGTGCCGCAGCCCCGCACACGCTTCCACATCACGACGGCGAGAACGACGGGGTTAGGACGAGGGGAGGAAGAGGCGTATCTCCCTGCACGGCCCCAGCCTCCCCACGGCWGGTGGGAGTGGGAAGAAGGCCAGGGAAAAGAAGCGGGGACCGGGACGCCGCGTACTCACATTGTAGGTGTGGACGCTGCGCCCGACGGCGGCGGCCAGGTAGAACTCGCGGTGGCGGCCGTGATAGCGCAGGACGTGCGGGACGTGCCCGCTGAAGCGGCCGAGCACCCGGAACGGGGCGAAGAGCCCCGCGCCCTCCCGCGCCATCGCTCCGCACGTGTCCGTGCCTCCGTCCGCATCCGCCGGCCGCCCGCCCTCCCGCAGGAAGAGCCCGCCCTCCCGCAGGAAGAGCCCGCCCTCCCGCAGGAAGAGCCCGCCCTCCCGCAGGAAGAGCCCGCCCTCCCGCAGGAAGAGCTCTCCCGCTTCCGCCGCCCCGCCCCGCCCCGCCGTCCGCCGTCCAAAGCGG